TTAAAAAAAAAATATTGAAACGTCTACAATTAAAAGATTTGTAATCCGCGTTCAAGACTGTGAAAATACTGACCGATTTAAAAGAAAGAGAATTCATCGAATAACTGCGAACAACCATTTCCAACATTATCCTTAGAAGATAAACCCATTTAAAATGATAGTCATATAACCGACGAACGGACAGGTACAATGCGTTTCGTCTGAGGTTTAAAAGATAGGGGAATTATTCCTCTAAGTTCTATCTCTACTACATATCTCTCTCTGCATGTAAATTTGTTGCTGAAAAAGCGGCTGCAGGTCGACCCCCAGAAAAAGGACATCTGGAATTTCCTTTTTTATTCTGGAACGCATTTTTAATGATATTTTATCTTCCTTTATACGATAAGAAATTACACTAGTAAGATACATATTATCCTTTTGACATGTCTGAAAAAATTTACAATGAAAAATATGCTCTCTCTATTTACGCAGATAATTTATATACAGTTATCTAACGATTTCAACAGACATTTCAAAACCTGTATAAAAATGATAAAAGTTCATTTCAATGTATTTTACCGTACAAGCTACATATTAAAAACAATATTTCTATGAATAAAGCGTCAAATTGCCTGTGCTAAAAGTTTTCTTTTATAAATAGATAACGATAGATAACGAATGAATTATATGGTGCTTACAAATTCCATATCAATGATTATAAAATTTTAATTATGATTTGTTTGGTTGGATTTAGCGCCACATCAACACAGTAAAGGTCAGTTGGCAATTTTCCAGCGCTACAGATGCCCCTAATCAACTTTTGCTTAAAAAATAGCCCGATATTCTACAAAACCCTTTAAAAAGGTTGTTGCTCAAAAAAAGGGGCGCAATTTTTTAAATTTTAAATGTTAAAAACTTTTTTATTTAAAATGTTTTGATGTTTTTTTTCCGATAAGAATCTAGTCTTCTAAGGGAATTTTTAAAAAATTTTTTGTATATTAAAAACGATGTGTTTCTTTCCTATAATAAATTGGGAAAAGTAAAACTTAAAAGTCAAAATTCAAGATATGATATTTTTATATTTAGTTCACATATTTTTTTTTTTTTTCATTGTTAAAAGGTTTTTTAAAAGGAAAAATTTTTCTAATATTTGTTAAATTTTTTGGGGACATTATGCTTTTCCCCCAAAACACGGAAAAAATTTCTTGTTTTTTTGAAAACGCCAAAAAATTTTAGCTTTTTATAAACCTTTTTGGAAAATTTTTTTAGGCATGTAAAATGCCTTTAAACGGCGCTAAAACCCTGCAATTTTTTGTCATTTCAAAGTAGCATAATGTAAACAAAGTCACAATTCAATACAATTTATTTAATTGATGTAACTTGACTAATTGCCAAACAGCAACAGAAGCATTTACGATTCTGGTTAATGGCCAGTGTTTAACACGCAGGAAACTAAAACACGACAGCAAAGCTATAAAGATTTGAGAACATTAAAAAAACATTTGTGGGATATGATAGGTATTTAGTTCAGTTATGTTTGAAATAATTAGGCACACTGAAAATTATATCCAATGTTTGTAAAATGTTTCTACATTCTTGTCCCGAGCAAAGGTCATATTCCTTTACTTGAAAAGTATTCAAAAATAATAATTTTATCAATTACAATCAAAACATTTTTATAATTTTGGTCGTGTGATTAAGATCGCCGACTCCATGTCATTTGGCTGTAAACGATTATGGTTCGATATCCGTCAAAGTCTTTGGATTCTTTTGTGTGAGGAAGATGCCGAGGTAGCTTACGGAAGGTCTGCGGGTTTCTCATGTGCCTGCCTATGTCTGAATTCATGTATGAGGCGCACCTAAGGTCCTCTACCACCAGAAAACCTTAAAAGTGTCGGTGTGACTGGAATCCAACTAGAAATAAAACAACAAAGTACTTGTTTCTTTACAGAGGAAAATGGATGCAATGTGGGGCAAGATAAAAACAACTAACGAGGAAAAAGTTAGAGAAAAATGTGAGAATACATTGCATAATTTGTCTATGAAGTATCTTGGCAAGAATATAGAGAATGGAGAATATAAAAAAGCAGGTGGTCATCGAAGATACAAGCGCGATATGGAAAGAATCAAAGATGAATACGTCGGTGTGCTAAGAGACTTCAAGGAGAACGAGGTTTGCGAACTTTTGATATTGTCTTTCTATACTTCCTTATTTCTTACTTTTTATTGAAAATGTTTACAGCTATCGGGACCGATTTAATAATACTTTCTTATTCAAAAGAAATTTTTTTTGTTAAATTATATTTTATCTAAATCTTCAAGTGTAAAAATACATAGACGCACAGATATTTTGTATGCAGCATTGTATAGTTCATAGTCATGCATCCACCTCGAAACATTGCATTAGTTATAGTCTCAGTTCAGGTATCATGCAAATAGAGTTGAAAATGGCCCCGCTCCGGTGTCACTTGTTTCTTAACTTTTCTTTTTATTCAATTTGTTAGATATTCCTTACAGACACAACAATACTTAAACAGTAGATATTTGATTTTGATCATAACCGTGTGACCATAAACATTTCTAAGGGTCACTTAGTTTATATACTGAACTGATATGCAACCACACTTGAATTGCCTTATGTAAAGAAGATAATTTATTAAGTACGTAACATTGCCTTGTAAACATCCTAAAAATGATGCCAATTGTGGTTAAATTTCAAAAAACTCCATTACAACATAAGTAAATGACTTTCAAGTGTTAAATCATTATGACATTTTCTTCATATGAACCTGGTATGAACGATCTCATGACATTATAGCTCTCTTGTGCTTCTCTAAAAATTGAACCTCAGACAAAATTACATAACATGAATGTTTGAAACTTTCTTAAAATAATAAAGTAATCATACGGTAAAGACCGATTTATTCCTTCACTAGATTTTATCTACATGGTATGGATTTGTAGAAAGTATGATTTTCTATTGTTAAATAATTATGACATTTTCTGCAAATGAACCTGATATGAACGATCTCATGACTTTATAGCTCTCTTGCTTTATTGTGCTTTTCTAAAGTAGAACCTCAGAAAAAATACATAGCATTTTCAAGGAAATAATAAAGTAATCATACGGTTAAATCCTATTCATTCCTTTTATAGATCCTATCTACATGGTATGGATTTGTAGAAAGTATGACTCAAACTGAAGCCGAAATAGTTGAAGCTGATGAAAATATGTCACAGCAGGAGAAAGAAGGTATTTGATTATTGAAAACTTACTTAGCTTTTTGATACTCCCATGTGAAATTGATATTGACTCACTTAGGCTCAAACACTTTATACCGGTTACTCCACTCTCCGTCTCATTTCCAACGTCAACAATGAGTATAACGTGAACATGGAAAATCCGAGTGATAACAAAACGCGTCAGCATCGTAATAAAATGGTATTTTATAACACGCATAGCTTATAATCTAAGATTCACGATAATTCATTTTTAGCTGAGCAAAAACGAAACCAAGAAAAACTCGAAGAATTATCGAAGAAACAACAGAAAGCTCATGATGATGCGTTAAAACAACAACGACAAGATTTGGCAAATCATTACGAAAAGTTAGAAAAAGATCGCCGTGAACAGGAAGCAAAAGATCAAGAAAAGTATAAATCAATGGTGACAGAAAGGTTGGAGAAGGAAGCAGCGCAAAAAGAAGTTGAACAATTACAAAAGCAACAAGAAGATGCAAAAAAGGAAGCTGAACGCCTAAGTAAGGAACGAGAAGAAGCTCAAAATGAGGCTGATGTGTTAAAAGACAAAGAAATAAAGAGGAAGCAAAAGTGGTTTGGTGCAAGAATGTGGAATGCGCTTCGGAAGAAGGACTGAACCATAAACATATTTATTTCTTTGACATGCTGAGGATATGTTCAGTTAATATATACCCATGTGTTATTTTGTAGAAGAAATCCATTTTATTTAACTTTGCTTTGCTGTGTCATAATTACATGTGGTATTGCTTTATTAAACGTGTGTTTACCTAATTATAATTCAATATTCAAGTTACCCAAGATGAAGAATTTATAACATTTTGTAGCTATATTACATTGCATGCAATATGGAAAATATCATTATTCTGGTTGTTTACGTTTTCACACAATATGACTTAAATGTGTGTTCCTATATAAACCAAGTGACCAAAATAATTATTGTTGACCAAAGAGGCATGAATAATAATGAAATACTAAAGGCAATGTTTCATGCTAAATACCTCTCTACACCGACAATCTTAAATGCGATTGCCTGAATAAGTTTTTATTAACTTAGTGATCCTTTATATTTGCAAATTGGGCATGAGTAATATAAATTCTTCAGGTCCACAAAGCAATGTTAAATGAAAAATATCCAAGCTTTTGGTAATTTACTTTCACACTATACTGCATGCCAAAACCTCTGCGTATTGTAGTTTCCTACAATAAGACTTAAATTTGGTGTCTTTATGCAAAATAAAAAAAAGACTTGTCAGTAGCTTTATTACAATATGTAGGACTTCTGCATGCAATGGAATTAAAAAGCAAGTATGAACAATTACATATTGTCTTCAAATATTTCAATCCTTATTCATGGCGTGTTGTAGTTTGAAAATCTGTCAATATGTTTCAAATTCAATTTTCAGTGATTAAATAGCAAATCACGTAACACAAACATGGAATACATAGTTACGGCGACGTGGTTATAATTTCAATCATTATGAATATAGACTGTGCAATCGTTTGACGTTAACGTTTCTTAAAAAGAAGAGTAATGAAATAAGTATAAGCATTGCAGCTTAACTCAGTTGCCTTCCTTATTACAATATGAACCCTTTAAGAAATATACTGTAATAAACCTATTTAATGCATAGCGACCTTCAGATATTTGTCCATATTCTAGGAAAATATGCTAAATTACCCGAACCAGGCCTGAACATGACAAATGCAAATAAAATATATCTATAAAGGAGTCTTTCTTATTATCAATGCCATTTAACTTGGCATCTATTTTTATTGTACAGCAGTGCAATAAATTTTTAGTTTCGAGTATCAGAATCTATCTAGATGTTCTAAAGTATATTCAAACATGTATGCTAGTCGACACTGAAAATTGAATAAGCTTTGTCTTAAAAAACATAGGTTTATTTATATTATGATGTAACTTGTAATTGACCAATGAGACATCAAAAGTTCAAACGGCTCTTTTAAGAAAAAGATAAATTAATAAAAAAAGTAATAAGGTAGTTGTATGACATTGTATGAAGTAGTTGTAAGGACATCATTAAGTTTAAAATGGTGTAGCTTAACCATTTTATCAAATAACTTCTTTCTGTTTATATAAAGCTTGTCAATCGTATAATGCAATACATGATCGACGTACCAATATTTATGATCGAAATCATATTGCTACATTTGCAAATTGGGGTTTAAAGTAAAACCAACTTTCATCATCAGTCATTATATAAGGTAAACGGCGACTGTCATGGAAATATTTTCATTAATATTTGAGGGCATTTAGCATGCTCCTTCTTCCGGTCAGATAAAAGCAAATGGGAGGACCATTTGGCAGTTATTCGTCTAAATTTAAATTATTGTTTTTAGAATCGTGTTGACCCTTTTGATATTCCTGATATATGGTATATCATGGTAAGTAAAATAATGGCCTGTGTGTCAGTGATAAGCTTGATTTTACGAATGTTTTATTAGTAACCGTGGACCGTTAACTACCAGTGTTACATGCATCTTTTATTGACTCGTGCCCATTTTTGAATTCATGCATCCACCTCGAAACATTGCATTAGGTATTTCATTGTTGCCATAGATAACACAAAAAATCATTATAAAGAATAATGACAGATTGTCCTACTTTTGCTTCATCTTTTATGTAACTTGTATTCAAGCACTTAAGCTAGCTTTTATCAGCCATAAATTACATTACTACATGAAGTGTCTCGGGGTAGGTATTGTAAATTAAAGTTAAATTCCTACACACACATGATTTTGTTTTCTTTGAGATTAGATGCTTTGAACCAAAGCCACGTTTACATAAACGTAAGAATAACGTGCTAAACTAGAAAATATACATCATATTGAATTACATATTTACCGATTTTCTTAACCCACCCTCGTTTTCTTCTATAAAACCACACACACACACACGCACGCACACACACACGCACGCACACACGCACGCACACACACAGACACAGAGAAATTATGTTTCACTTTGAAATTCTTGATATGGAAATAAACTATGAGGAGACAAAATGCATTCGTTATTGTACACATTTATTCTCAGACTGATCAATATTTACAAATATGATAATCATTAGCATGTTTCATCTTTCTTTATCAGATGTTATGTTTATAGAAGGAAAATATTCTGGCAGATTACAAACAATACATAGCAGTGTAAATATTTTATCTTCCAATAAATATTTTATTTTCTAAATACAGTAGGATATAAATAGACAACATAATCAGCAACAACGTAAATGTGTTTTATATTATGTATTTGTTTTCATTTTTCAAAATACAATACAATGCCTACAATTATTTGTCCTGATTTTTATTAATGCTTTTTCAGACACGAATACAAGATATAAGTCTGCATTTCCTATTTATTCTTGTTTCAATGTCAAGATATAATTAAAACATAAGTCTGTGGGTAACAATAAAAATATCATCCCGATGACAATACCATACAAAAATTCTACGAGGGATTATATTGAACTGTTACTCGCAAACATAAATTCAATTTATTACCCAGAACAAATACTTTAACGATCCGAAATTTTTCAACTAAATCAATTGTAAAAAGTTGAACCAAAAGTAACATAAACTGAATATCCATACCTTGCAAGTTGTAAGTGTACTTGAGAAGTTGTGTTTCTTGTATTCCTTTAGCAAATGATGAATTATCTACCAATCATAAGCATACAATAAGTTGTGTTTCATTTTGGACCCATTTATCAGTCAAAAGACGACTTCCCTTTAATCGAAGCATTATCTCCCAAAGGGAAGATAGTCTCTATTCATACAGATATATCTTCCTACCTATATCATAACCTTAATCGTATCAGAAAAGTTAAAATATAATGTGAAATCTGACCCTGTCTAGAATATAACTTTGACAATGTGCAATTACGATATCTTATATCTCAATAGTGTTGTAGATCTGTCTACCACATGTTTCAGGCTTCATTGATTAAATGCGTTAAAACATCCTTTATTTCATGCTTAAATCGCCTGCTTTCTCAATTTGACTCATGCATATCCCCAGGCAATAATTTCCTATAAAACGGATAATTACTTTTTCACTAGTCTGAAAAAGATATATATAACGCGAAAACACTTTAAAATCATGATATGAACATGATTATTACTTAGATATGTTTTTCTGTACGTACATTTAGACATTGTTATGCTCAACTTCGATCTGGCTCCCTTGCTTTGGAGTTAGAATTAGGCAGACATCGGGGTATTCCAAGAGAACAAACACTGTATAAACTATGCAATAGATCTGAAATTGATGACGAGTTACATTTTGTGTTTAAATGTCCGATAATGCATAATTTACGCAACATTGACATAAAAAAAACAAAGTACCTTCTTGTACCATCTTTAAAAACATTACGTATATTGTTAAGAAGTAGAAATTGTATTTTAATAATAAACTCAACTTTGTTCATTTTTACTCACTAGAAATAAAGAAAATCTTAATGAAACGCTAGATGGGTCCCCAGACAGTAATGTTGACTGACGACCAGAAACGGACCAGGCTTGACATTAGATATATTTTGTCTCGCTACGAGGATGAACCTGATTTTATCTACCGGATCGTAACTCAGGATGAAACATAGGTCCATCAATTCGATCTATAATAAAAAAAGCAGAGCATGCAGTGGAAGCACCTTGGCTCTCCCGACCGAAGAAATGCAAGTGCGTGCCATAAGCAGGAAAGATGATGGCTTCAAATTTTGGGATAGTCAGGAAATAACAATGCTTGACTATCTTGAGCAAGGTCGTACCATAAACTGTACGTACTATGCAGACGAATTGAGACGTCTACGTCAAGAAATCGCGCGTAAAAGGAGGGACAAACTGACTCAAGGCGTTCTGCGCCAGCGCACACATCCCAAGTTGCGATAGCTGCTGCCACTGACAACGGCTTTTAAATTCTTCCCAATCTCCCATATATTCCGGACTTGCCCTCCTCTGACTTCTACCTGTTTCCGAAACTGAAAACCAAGCTTCGTGGTAGACGTTACGGAAGCAATCAAGGTGTCATGGAGGCGGTCAATGAGTTCTTTGAAGATCAAAATAGAAAGTTCTATTTTGAAGGGTTAAACAAGTTGGAGCACAGTCGTGCAAAGTGCATTGATGTAGAGGGCGATTATATTGAAAAGTAAGACCAGTGGTTAGGTTCTCTGACAACCGGAAGTAAATCGGGCCAACAACTTTTCGATCAATCCTCGTACATCAACTGTATATTTAAATATAATGCAGTACATAACTACTTAATTTATGCCTATAAGGACATAGTTATTCTAAAAATGAATTCTGCACAGCCTTTATTTATTTTCATTACAGCTTTTCTTTCTTAAATAAAACTGGTCAGCTTGTTTGCATTCTTCTGCATAGCTTGTCATTTTTTCAACAATTCAGTCAATAAATATTGATATTTCATATACAATGCGTTCCAGAATAAAACAGGAAATTCCAGATGTCCTTTTTCCGGGGGTCGACCTTTGGGCACTTTTTCAACAACAATTTTACATGCAGAAAGAGATACATAGTGAGACTAGAGAGATAGGAGAATAATTCCTCTATCTTTTAAACCTTAGACGAAACGCATTGTATCTGTCCGTTCTGCGGATAATATTCCACTATCTTTTTATAGGAGTTTATTTTCTAAGGATTATTTTGTAATTCGTTGTTCGGAGTAATTTGATAAATATGCATAGAAGACAGCTCCCTCCAGCTCTATAGTGTATTTGAAAATGACTGTAGTTAATGTTTTACAAATTTTTTATGTCATTTTAATGTTTCATGTATATATGTTTAATCAGTTATTTCCTGACAAGATGAAATTTATTAGTCTACCCTTTTAGTATAAATTCAGATAAGGATATCGATTTGGCCTTAACATTTGGATTTTATCTTCTGGGGACTACTTTCAATTGGTACTTTTTCTTACCAGAAGAAATCAAAACTAATTTTGAGTTACTAAAAGAAAGGTTCATTTTACAATTTGGAAAGCGTATTGATCCAATTCAAATTCATTCTGAATTGTTCCTAATGAAACAAAACTGATATAAATGAACGTTGTGACTTTGATTTCCTTCCAAACAAAATGAAACCCGCAGTTTTACAACTGAATCAAACGCACTACTTAGTATATAATACCACTCAAGTAAATCTTTCATGTGAAGGCTCATGAAAATCCCTTACAGGATGTCATTTTTGTTTAATTTCTGTCCCATGCAATTGCTCAATAAACACTGCATCAATCTTTATCCCTCACAGGTTCTTGAACTGCCATCACCACTCGAAACCAATTACAATGCTTCATCCCATAAACCTTGCCCTCCTACAACAGTATTTTAATACAGAAGTTCTAGATTCAATTCAAGCACATACTACGTACCCCTCACCGTTGAACATTTCAGTTCCAGATTTTAATATTTTTGAACATCAGTATTCAAAAATAAGTTGCCACCGAACAATATGAACACCTTAGTCTGAAGAAAATGGCAATGCAAGCTAAACAATATAAAACTGTGTACACTTCTCTTGCTGACCCATTACTAGCAGGAAATATTAAGACTGAAACCTCATTCCCATGGGTCACTGTGCTTGCAGCATCATCTACATCAATAACTGTAATTTGCACTATTGCTGTTGTATTTTTATTTAGAAAATATAAAAGGAAAAACCAATTTTGTTAACGTCACAACTCTTAACACGAGAAAAGGCACTTCCACTTGACCTTTCTAGTTTCATTTATACTACTCAAGCACCAGCTGTTACTACAGAAGGATTCATAATTGACATTGATAGTATATCAAATTCAAATACCCTTACCCTTATTCTTTTTGTTACAATAATACTCACGTATAAACTTATACGGCATTGCTGCCGTTCCATCCAAACAAGTTCCCTAATACTAGAATTACAAATGGATATTCTTCGATTCAAATTCCTTGCCTGAAACTTCCAAAATGTATTCAACATTTGGATTTTCAAGGTGCTGACTTTGTTAAAGATATCACAATCTCACAGGACAAGTTCCCCAAATTGATTATTGAACCTATTCCAAGGTTACCAACTCAGATCTATCACAAACAAACCATTCCACATTGCACTATGGGTTAAACATAACCAAATCTGCACACCTATCTACCCGTTACAAAATTGCCATATAACAAAATCAGTTAACCATGCATATACCTTATATCCAAACTTGGAGTCCGAAAAGCCATTATTACAAAATGCTTAAGGACAGATATCTATATTTCCATACTTGTATATATATAAAAACAAAAAAAATTGTTCAATTCAACAGGGTGACCCAAGTCATGACAACAAGATTTTTACCCTAGCGACACTCCTTTGCAACTGTTTAGTTTACAACATGAAGGGAGCATTTGATAACGACGCCGTCGCTAAACTCACGTATCCTTTTCATTTTTAAGAAACATGTATGTTATATTGCATGCAAATTTATTATTTAATCGGAGTTTAAGCTTTTTGTTTCCAGATAGAAATTCAACTTTTAAACAATATGAAATACTAAGTATAATATGATAATTCATGATTATGTTATGTATATGTATACGAATTGAGAGAATTAACTATAAAGCACCCATTTTTACTTATTTTAAGTCAGAATGTTTTGTGAAAGCATAGACTTACGGGATATTCTTGAGATCTTTGTGTGGTTAAAATGCGTATAATGCAACATAGATCTATAAATTCTGGAAATAATTAACACGTTAGCATGTTTTTGATCTTCTAAAACTATGTATATTTTCGTGCAACGTCGGTAACCCTTGATATATATTCATAAATACCGTACATACTGCATTATCTAGATAGTGTAGTATGTATAGGGAATACACAGATAATGTGGTATGTACATAATATATACCGTGGGTAACGGGCGACGATTATTTTATCCAATTTCTTAAATTTCACACATTGCGTTTTTACTGTTATTTTATCATTTTTCGTGTGAAAGCGTCGAAGGTCGTGTCGGCGACCCTAACTACAAGGCCACTGGTTAAGGGGGGTAGCTTTTTGTCATGTATGGAAGCTATCCGGGTTAGTTACAGAAGATCGGTAGTTTTAAAACTGAAATAATAAACGAACACCTGAACAAAACGTCTTCAAGAAAGATGGAAGGTCTCCGAATAGACTTTAGAATATCGATGTGATGTATCCCCCAACACAATTTTCAAGTTTTTTTTAAATTGTCCTTGTATGACTTGCCAAGAAAAACAGGCTTATTTCAAGTACCTTAATCATTACTGGTGTTAAATTATTTCTCTAACGTTCCATCATTCTGATGTTCTTATATTCAAATAAATCAAGATAAAAATGACGTTTTTCTTTTCAAAATCTTCAATAAATAGAAAATATATAGTTAATAGATATGTAATGAATTCTGATTTGACACATCGGTTATTTGGACTTTATCGATTAACTGTTTCTAAAGGTTTATCTTGATTCAGAGGAGTAATTCAGATATAGTGTGTTGTGACCAGTGTTGAGTGAGCGTGTTTCAAGTCACTCAGTTTAGTTGTTCTTTGATAATTGTATTGTGATTGTATGCTGATATTTGGGTGAAATAATTTTGTTTTATTTACACTGGAGAGTTTATTATGTATTGTATTCTGTTAAATACATGCTCTGAGATACACGAAGCGATACAAAAAAAAAAAAAAAAAAAAAAATAGACAAAGAGATTTTATCTATGGATATGTTTAAGAAAACGTCATTCTGTTGAAGATTGATCTTTAATAACTTTTAAACTTATGTATATAATAGCTTAACTGAAGAACTTCAGATTTGTAACAGAAATGGCAAATAATATAAGATTTCGAGGAAAATCTTCTGAGGATAACCAGGTGATCAAGCTTATACTTCCTGACTTTGTTCTCTGTTTGAGAGATTTCAGTCTAAAATTGATAAAAGATGGGAAAAAGATAACAGAAAACGATTATCTTGAGCAAAGTTTAGCGGAGAACAAAAGCAGAGCAGAACAGTTCAACAAACCAAGAGCATGCATCAAAAACAACTTCCCGAAACGCGAGTGCTTTGCTTTCCCAGCTCCAGGTGATAGTGAAGTTCTTGAGAATCTTGAAACGTTGAGTTTTACCCATTTATCTACTAGGTTCCAGGAAGTAACAACTCGGTTTACATCCTATATATACAACATGCCACCAAAGGAATTGCTTGGCAGTAAACCAATAAATGGACAAAGTAAGTTGTAAATGATCATAATAATTGAAGTAAGTAATTCAATCTTGACATGCATACATAGCATCAGTTTTGATGTTGGTTTACAGACAATAATTGTACTGTACTGCTATATCTAATAAAAACACAACATAGATGTAGACATGAATATATGCATGCAGATATTAAACTAGTTAGCCTACGATGTAATGGCATTGATTTGTTATAAACGAAAATACCTTAAACCTATCAATAAATTGCGTAACCAGAATTTGAGTTTATTTTCAGCATTTGATGATACAAATTAAAATGCTGAGGCACTGTCTATATGGTTTTATTTGTCACATGCAAGAACGTCCATTTATTTTAAATAAATGTTAGAAAAAGCATAATAGATCAAAATAACACTTTCAGTAAATAATTACGGAGGAAGGTAGTCTAGTGCTGGTGTAACTCTCCAGGAACGATGGTTAGGAAACTTCCCGCCTATATGACTGGAATACTGTTGGGAAAAGGCGTAAAATGAAATAAACAAACAAACAAACACACAGTAAATAATTTCAATGTCATTTGCTATCGTTTTACAAACACATTTCTTTCTTATCTTTGTACGTCCCCTTTGGGACCCAAACATGAATCATCAACACCTTCGTTAATACTGATATTTGATTTCCAGTGATCTATGTAACTGGACAATTAACAGTAATAATGTCATCTCACTTATAGCCCCGTCTTTGTGCCACCTCCTGAATTTGAATTTGAATGGAACTTCTATCAATGACACTCTATGCCTGGGTATGATTGATAATGGATACGTGAAAGTGAACGTCGCATTACATTGATCATATTTCCTTTTATATTGAACAAATTTGCTTTAAGTTTAGATTATTTTATAGTTTTAGTAAATCAGTTAGAAATAAGTTAGAAATAAAATGTATTCTTTTGATTTTTAAAGAGACCTATCTTTTCTTCTCAACAATGATTGAAATGAAAATTGTTTGTAAATAAATATTACCCATTTGAAACTAATTGCCCGAAGACGTTTCGTATAAATTCAACATATTGATGCCGACTTTATGCAGTCGGATTTATGCAGCGTATTATGATAGTCTGTTTATGAGTTAAGTTAATTAGAAAGCAGATCAAATTGACAGCGCAACTGTATAATACTGTTTTTAACCATAGACTGTAACGCCCGGGAATTTCCAATATAATGACTCAATTCAAAAAAAGTGTTTGAGGAATGCTTGTAGTTTGACTATCAATTACTATCTTTCATTGGGCGTGATTCGCAAGACTATTGAAAGTAACTATTTTCAGAGAACATGATTTACATAAATTAAGAACAACTTTCGGTTAACTTATTCTCATTATTACCTCATAATCGACAACAACTGAACTGTCCAAGCGAACTTTATTTGAATGATTTTACATAAGTCCAAAATTTTGATTGTATATTTTAGTATAGGGAGCCGTTTTCTTTTAAAGATTCCCCTGATTGTTCTTTCATTTAATACGAGCTTAGAATTTTTACTCACACCCCATTATTATAACGTTTATGATCCCAGGCGAGTACTTTATTTACATGACATCATAACCATCACTTTTCTTGTTAATTCTTTATCTTCTTTAGAAGTATCACTTAACTTGAACGTTCTTTTGTCCTTTTTATAGTGTTCGTAACATTGGCTGACCACTACGTTACAGCTATCATAAACGGTGCTGTTCCAGATGTTGATGATGCATTTACAGCTGTAGCGAAAATGGAAAATGCTAAAATTGAAAAAAGGCTCTAGATTTCTTTGAAATTGAAATGAAAAAAGTAATGCTGCCAGTCTCTGAAAGTGATTTGGGGGAACGTTACACAACCGCACAAAAGATAGCTCTTGATCATCTTCGACAGAATGTTATTCATGACTTTAAAGCGAAATGTCAATTTCAAGCGCAGGTGAGAGACTAACACAATGGTTAATGTTAGGCAAAGGGGATGCCTAAACCTCCATCCAAAGTCTAGTCATTTTGACAAGAATTTATTAAAAGGTTTTGTTCTGAAGTGTTTTTATTCGGCTGGTAGGTTCTTGGTTCAATTTTAATATTTAAGTCACAAGATATAACAACTGCAACAATTTAAAATGTCAAAGGCTCTGTGTAAAGTGTTTTTTTGTCGGCGCACAATTTTCATATTTTAAAAATCTTTCCATGAATTCATTTATAAATAGAGAAGGAATTAATTATATGGTGTATAACTAAGAATAGATGTTTGTTTAGATGACATAATGTAAGCAATTTCAGAAACCCAATGGTCAAAGTCAAACTTGAATGTCAAGAGTCATAATATGTTAGCTCATTGATAATTATATTAAGCCCATATCTTTTCCATTCATTTACAAATTTCCATATGACAATGATCTAATATGCGGTACTTAAATGGCACATTATGACCCAGACACGGGTAATGTTTCATGTTTAAAAAAGTGCAAATTAAAGTTTTATTACATGTACATAATGGTTTAAGAGCATGAAACATGCTCATTACCTGGAGAAAGTAGCGCTAAAAATGAAATGTCATAAAAA